ATGAAAAATAACTTAGTTTGTTATTGTTATGTTGTCTGATTCTCAGATTATTTTCATCAATTAAATGTCAAAAGCCAAACAAAGTTATTCTGGAGAAATGCAAAAGATTTCGATGAACGATAGAACACGTTATGAAAATTGAATAAAAAGTTATGTTTTCTCCAAATCTATCCCACATCTCCCTTAAACTCATTATACTAATCGCTATATTGACAAATCTTGTCTCAAAACTTCAAAGTGGCTTTCTGAAAGTCACTAAAATTTAATTTAATTTTACCTCAACATGTAGCCATCAAATCTAATTCTCTGTTGATAACTGTTCTCCAAATGCTTCCCCACTTGAAATGTGCAACCATATCCTCATATGTTTAACAATAAATCTAAAATGGTATTCCCTATGATTTGCCCACTGTTCATTTGGTAAAGAAAACCATCATGAATCACATAAAGAATTTTTTTTTCCTCAATATTTGACACATTGTTGTAGGATAGTTACCATCACATTACATCTTCGAAAAACAAGCAGCTCACTCTAGCTAATAAATAAATTATAACATTAAGAATATATAGCTTACAAGAATATAATTATTTTTGTATTTTTGCATCACTAATCGTATTAGTAACGACCCTGATATCATTATACAGTTTCTCATTGACATTACTTGTCTGATTAGGTAGCCTATAACAACTTCCAAATAAAACCTTTTATATAAGTTTTGTTAATATTGTTACGTCTCTGGTCGTTTGTTAATTTTTCGTAGAAATTATTTATGAAGAACTTTAACGATACAAGTCCTTTCTTAAATAAAACTAGTTTATTCTTTCTCAATACAACTTTGCAATACACTTAACTTCCACAGTCACTTTAACTTAAACACACGCTATAATTTACAATGATTTACAGACTTTACTTACGGCTTGACTAGATTATCTGTCTATATCTTCAATCTCTCTGTCTGCTATTCCAGTTTCGATTAATTGTCTCGCTTTATCTGGTGCACTTATGATAACGCCAAAGCCAGATGGCATGCACCACCTCTGACTTACATCGCCGACCACATTTTATTCGGAAAGTCACGTCTGAGAGACGATCCACTATGTCATATGGGCCTTCCCATGGAGAAGACAACTTAGTAGACTTCCCTTTGGTCTTCCTAGGATTATACAACCACACCT